ATAAAGATGAAAAAATGCTTGGATTGCATGAGGTGATAGAGCTCTTCAATAGTTACAACCCACACATTGTGCTTTCTGGAAAACATGCATTTTAAAAATTTCAAAAATCTTTTTCTAAGAAGAGTCCGAAAATGGCCGCGTCACAATGTCGCGGACAATAATTCTTCAAACGCGAATATTTCCTTTTGGGTCCTATTTTCAACTGGAAACACAAGTAATCCGAATAGGTAAGCATACTACATTATAGAGCTCATCGAGGACAATAATCAGATAGTGGTTATTTCCAAAAAAACCCAAACTTGAATTTTACTTTGATTTTTTCAAAAAATAATTCTACTTTGCTTTTTTTCCAAAATTACTTCTAATTCCCTTTTTCAAGCCAAATTTCTTCACATGTAAACCTATTCAAGACATCCTAACAAAGCTGTTCGACTAAAATGGATGCTTTTTGCCATCCTGTTTGCATCCGATGTGTGTTGGTGAGTTTCTTTGCCGAAAATGACTCTTGACAGTGCGTGCACATAACCCCACCTGCACCTCATCACTGAATGCACTGCTTTGCAGGCTTGTAGCTCGGCCGGCAGTCATTCTACGAGCGTGCAAGTAGGCTCATTCGAAAGAGCGTGACTTCCTGGAGATGAAGGTATGCAAATGAGTTCAGTTCCAGGAATAACAGCGGTTTGGCGAATGGGGTGACAGAGCGCAGCTTCTGTGGTATGGTAAGGATTTCTCAGCATTAAGCAAAGCTCCTTTCGCTACTAGTTCCATTCTGGAAGTTCAAAACCGTCAATTTATATGTAATAGATCCATTTCGGAGCTCTAAGACTGTTCTGGCGTTGATAAGAGCCTTCACTCCAATAATCACCTCTAAGGCTGCGCTCTGTCACCCCATCCGCCAAATCTCTGTTATTCCTGAAACTGAACTTTTTTGCAATACCTTCATCTCCAGGAAGTCACGCTCTTTCGAATGAGCCTACCTGCAGGCTCGTAAAATGACTGCCGGCCGAGCTACAAGCCTGCAAAGCGGTGCATTCAGTGGTGAGGTGGTGGGGTTATGTGCACGCACTGTCAAGAGTCATTTTCAGCAAAGAAACTCACCAACACACGTCCGATGCATACAGGATGGCAAAAAGCATCCATTTTAGTCGAACAGCTTTGTTAGGATGTCTTGAATAGGTTTACATGTGAAGAAATTTGGCTTGAAAAAGGGAATTAGAAGTAATTTTGGAAAAAAAGCAAAGTAGAATTATTTTTTGAAAAAAATCAAAGTAAAATTCAAGTTTGGGTTTTTTTGGAAATAACCACTACCTGATTATTGTCCTCGAGGAGCTCTATAATGTAGTATGCTTACCTATTCGGATTACTTGTGTTTCCAGTTGAAAATAGGACCCAAAAAGAGAATTTTCGCGTTCGAAGAATTATTGTCCGCGACATTGTGACGCGGCCATTTTCGGACTCTTCTTAGAAAAAGATTTTTGAAATTTTTAAAATGCATGTTTTCCAGAAAGCACAGTGTGGGTTGTAGCTCTTGAAGAGCTCTATCACCTCATGCAATCCAAACATTTTTTCATCTTTGTTTTCCATCCGAAAATGAGCGATGAAAAAAGGAAGGCGGCTTGTCCGCAACTTTTTGGCGGTCACTGTACATACATACAGACAGACAGACAAACAGACATTCAGTTTTATATAGAAGGATTACTGTTCAAAATTTTAAGCTTAAAGGCAGTGGATCAGCAGAATGGACCCCTGTCAGATTCTGGTAATTTCAGGTAGCATACCCCCACCCCTCAAGTACACAGTTGCTCCAATTCCACCCTCCAATTCATGACTCCACCAGCCCCGCCCTCTATTGAGTGGGCGTTATTGGTGTAAGTTTGAAGCTTCTTTTCTGGACTTAGCACATGATGTGGAGGGTGAGGTTGGGGCTAGGTATCTTGGGAGGCCTACAACCTAACAGTACCAAAATCTGACAGGGGTCCATTCTGTCGATCCACTGCCTTTAAGCCATTCTATTTATTTCTATACCACCATGGTTAAGCTCAAAATTTCAAACATTAATTATATTCAGATACTTCTCGCTTCTTTGGCTCTCACTCCTCATCTGAGCGCATTCCTTAGGTAGCTGTTGCGACGCATTGGAGATAAAACTACTCTCCATGATGTTATAACCAAAAACTTTATGCATGCAGTAGAATGAACTCCCTTCTCAAGTTTTGATGGTGTGGACTCGGCATCTCTGACCTTCATTATTGTGTGAGATGAAAAGAAGCCTGAGTTGTTGAACAGAGAGTCCACCTTTTTGGTTGTTGTAGATTATCTCGGAACATGCAGATCCTGTCCATTTAGTATATGAAACGTGTGGATCCTGAATTTCTTTATCGTGAGTACGCAACAAGGTAACCAGATTTAAAAACAAAAGGAACAAGTCTTTAGAAACACAAGCAAACGCAAAAACTAAGGGTCTATACGAGGCTCTTCAACCCTTAGCATCAAGTGACGGGGTCGTGCTGCACCAAAGCTTGCTATTAGAAAAAGGTCGTACAAGAAAGTTCAAGCAAAAAGCTCACAGAAAAATGTCAACCATGTATCTACAATCTCTGGCCTGTCATCGTCAATTTGTTGCCGCTGGCTCAAAGAACCCTCATCAGCTCGTTCCACGACATTGATAAGCTGTCATCAATCAAGATCTTCACTGGTTAGCCTACGCAGCTTAAAATTTCATTTCATTTCATTTGTACGCTCAAGGCGTTCCATAAAAAAAGACACATCAAGAAGTTAGTAATACAGCGGAAACGAACAAGACATGTAAACAAATGCAGACATCATCATGTCAGTCCGAGTCTGATCCTAATCAGACTAATGGAAGGTGAAACAGCTTGCACTGAATATGTTGATAGGCTAATAGATAAGTATGCAGATGTAGGCATTGAGATTTATAACTCCAAAACTTTGAATCCATGGAGATGGGATGCATGCCCCATCGTTGCCAGCGGAACGATCTTTAGTTACTCTTAAAAGCAATCCGGCAGCTTATAAGGCAGGTCTACTGGCTCAGGTATAATAACCATAACCCAACCTAGCCGGAATGCTGGGGAGGCCCAATGACCCCAAAGGTGAAACGATTCACATTCGATCCATTTGTTGAAATAGCAAGCTGTACGGTTGAATACTAGATAGCTGAGCGAAAAAGACTCGGACTAAGATGCGGATGAAACTGTGTTAGTAGCTAGAACACAAGGAGTACACCGAAAATACAAGTTTGACGCAACGTGAGGAGATACACGAGAGGTGTCAAAGAAATAATTTACAGCCATAACTGAACCCGCAAGTCAATGCAAGATCAACGAGCATCTGAAAAGACAGGTTTCAGAGGTAAAATGGAGAAGAAAGCTGATAGAAAACAAAGCCCAAAGCGATTCCATCCGCCATCATAGCACGTCCAATGCACCCAATGGAAGCCCAAAAGGTCTAATGCAGAAGGCTCGCCCTGTCGTGCAACACTAATCAGTGTTAGCGATACTTGACAAGTCAAGCCTTCTCAGTCTACTCCTGAAAACATGACTACTCTCTGCACCAGTGGTCTCAACCGGGAGGTGCGAAAGCCACCTAGCTGACCTGTAGAAAACGTTGTTGAACATCAACAAGTATCTCCTGCGCCGGATTCTTGGATATTGCAGGTTAAAAGAGCCTGACCTTTCGCTTGTAGGAACAAAAATCCAGTATTTACTGGCTTTTAGCTTGTTCTCTCTTCTCAGAACTTGAAAACAGAATACAAGATCCAAGAAAGCACGATGGTTTGTTAAGGACTTCATATGAAACCTCTCAAGCCGGGTCTGGTAATCGGGAGGGGTGGTTCCGGGCGATAAACGTCTATACAACAGCCGTTAAAAAGCTGTTGAACCTTTTCAATTCTGCGAGTATCCTTTTTACGAAAGGGGGACCAGACCTGAGAACAGTATTCTAAATGACTAGTAGATAGTTGAACGAAAAAGACTCGGACTGAGATGCTGATGAAACTGTGTTAGTAACTAGAACAAAACGAGTACACCAAAAATAAAAGTTTGACGCAACGTGAGGAGATACGCGAGAGGCGTCAAAGAAATAATTTACAGCCACAACTGAACCCGCAAATAGCAGACATCTATGCCTGAACTGCGCGCTCCGACACCAAACGCCTTGCGCGCCGGTCAAATTTGCATTGGGTCATGGGGCGCGCTCTTCGCAGCCGTTTGTAACTATAGGTACGAGTGGATCTTGACTTAGTTATAGGCCGTATCAGCCGGCATCGGTCTCGCGTTACTATGCATTGCGAAATCGCACCGCCGCATGCGACGTGCTTTAACGCGTAGCAGAGTTCGCACGAGTCACTTCGCACCGTCGCAAGTTGCCGCAGGCGCGACGTCGCATGACCGATGCTGGTTGGTACAGCCTATAAGCAGGCCTATGGAGGACCGAAGTTTGGAAGGGAGCACCTCCAGCTGTTTTGAACTAGAAGCAAGTCAAACTGTATGACTGGGTCCAGTTCGCAAGGCTTCGCACTGTACAACAACGGCATGTACCCACTGACAGATCTAGTTAGTGGGTACATGCCGTTACTGTCCAGTCGTTCTCCATTTCCTTCGAGCTTTATCCTTAGAAGACAGGAGAAATTTGGCGCAAGGGCTAGGCACAGCATGGGGTATTTATCATCGTCTTCGTGCCCTGCAAACTCGATAAGTTGATGACCTACAATATCTCACAACACTAGCATTGCTGCCAATTCTACAAATCCGCAATCTCCGCCCCGTCTAATCCGGGGAAACGACAAAAGTATCCATCGAAGGAGTATTTGATATACTTCTCTCAAAGGGATCAAACCGACCAAGGCGAAAAGGGATAGCTGAGCTGGTCCCCAAGGGAAAGATGAAGGGAAAAATGGAGGTTCCCAGACTCAAAGCAAAGAACTCAAAGAATCCAACGAGAACAAGGAAGTAAAATAGAAAGGTCAACTTGTCTCCCACCTTTCGATCTGGTCGTCCTGCTTCGTCCGAGACGGGGCTCCGATTCCTTGAGTGTTGGAATGCCACGCGGCTAGCTGAAGTAGTGATATAGCAGCAGAGAATACCGGAATACACGCAGGACGTAGTTGCGGAGAAACCGCCGGCACACGTCAACACCTCAAACTTGGGTAATTAAACCCTTTATTACCCTATTTTCAGGTGTATAAGCCGCGGGGTGGTCCTAGCTTACATCGACCAGCCCGAACACATTAAAGGACATCGCAACCAAAGGACCCTATACCGTGCTGCGTATTGCCTGAAATAATCGTGCAGCTTAAGGATTTCTTCTCGAAACACAATTGGAGCAGCTGAGCAGCCAGGGCGAAAATTTGAAAAAGTGCGGCTTATACACCTGAAAATAGGGTACTAACAAATTGAACAAATAACATGGCAACCAACAAGTGAGTGTCATAAGTGAGTGAACTGAATAACCAAATAACGGAAAGGGGATACTTGAGTTGATTCCACTGAGTGTCCGCGAGGTGGCGTCTGCGCAGCTAAAATAGTCGTTTTTGGCGCGTATTGGAGACCACGGAGGTGCTGAGGCGGGATCAAGTCAGGCCTCAGCACAGTAGCACTTCTTCTGAGGGAAACTAACTTTGACTTCCGACAAGAAAAGGATGCCAAAACATGGCCGATTGAGATGTGATATATTAGGCTGTAAAGAAAGTTCTGCCAGTAAAGGTCGAGCTGAATTTTTATCTTTAGTCTTACCACAATGGGTGTCAACTATACTTGGGTCTGAATCGAATAGAAATTCGATCATTCGAATAAAACATTCGAATATATTCGTATTCGAGATTCGATATTCGGAGTTCCTCTGTTTTCGAATAATATTCGAAACTCGAATAATTGAAAAAACGGGGTTTCGAATAAAATTCGAAAACTCGAATAATCAAAAAACGAGGATTCGAATATCATTCGAAAACTCGAATAATAAAAAAACGGGGTTTCGAATAGATTTTACTCGAATGTTTTATTCGAATGTTTATTCGAATTCGTATTCGAATGAACTCCGTATTCAAATTATTCGACTTTGTTGCAGAGCCAACTAAGTCGAATAATTTGTAATAATACTAAGCTAAGTATCAAGCTCACTTCGTCCGCGTTTTTTTTTTCGCAAAACTCGGTAATGCATCTTTTGGAACCGTTATGACCTTTGAACTGTATGGAGAGTCGCATTCTTCCGACTGCTTGCGACAGTAAAAAAATCATATGTGAATTTTAATTGATGCTTTTTCGATCAATGAGATTGTTCGCACAGCTATTGGCACCAAATCAGCAAAGAAGCTATCGAATTCAAATGTTCCGAGTTCAAATATTGAAAATGTTTTAAAATGCCTGTTTTTCTTTCTTTGCATTGCTCATGCCTGTGGTACGCAAAGCCCACACTAGTGAGCACTTTTGCTCGCATAAGTTACACTGCACAACTGCCTCTATTCGCTACGTTAGAGGTTTTATGCGAGTTGGTGTATTTTGAGTAAAGAGCATCGCAGTTGTAGTGGAGGATTAGACGGTTACGACCGCCGTACGCGATTTGCCAGCTACGAGATGTCTTCATAACGTCAGCTTACCACAAATTTTTACCGCGTACAACTTTCTAACTTCTAGATTAAGTTTTGGACAATTTGACTATTGCCAAACCACGTCGCCGCTGAAATGCCTGCAGTATGCCCGGGGCTATAGGGGCATTCGTGCTCGCTTCGCGGAATATTCGAATTCGATTTTTTGAGAAGTTTGCGCTGGGGGCTGGAAGTTGGTACAAGGGGGTAAGTGCGGAAGCCGGTTATGGATAAAACCATAGGTGCGAAGGGTTGAGAAAAATCTCACCCCCTCTTCACTTTGGAGCCTGGGCTACCCCCCCCCCCCCCTTCACTTTGGATGGAGAAAGAAAATTTTTGAGGTGAGATGATAGTGTGCTTGAAGTGGAGTACAATTTAGGGTGAAAGAATTTATTTACAGAGTCTAGGAAGTGAGAATGCGGGAAAGAAAGCAAAAATCGGGACCGGACCCCCCTCACTGGGATGAAGCAGGTGCTAAGGTGAGTTAGTTAGATTAAAGTTGAGATATCGGAGCTGAAAAATCCAATTTTAGGCATTCCATGGGACGAGCAGTATTGAGTCGATATGGGAGGGCGCATGGTCGTGAAACGAATGGCTGGAGTGGTGCCTACACGTGGGCTTGTTGGACGAGACTCTGAAAAAGACTTTGTGGTTATAATGTGGATATAAATTGAATAATTTGCCATCGTATTGTGCGTATAAGGATAAACAGTAAATGGAATTGTTGTACACAATCGAATTTGTTTATACTGAGTGAAGGCAGGAAAATAATCAGAATAGGAAAGGTAAGATATCGGAGTTTGATGATCAAAAGAGAAAGCTGCTGGAAATAAGTTCTATAAAGGTAGAGGGAGAAGGTAAGTCAGGTATTAGGTACTCAGGTAAGCTTCCGATGTAAGCTGATAAGGAGAAGCAGGTTTGAGTTTCCAACTATACCCCCCTTTGAGCCAAAAAATTTCCATATCTCGGTGAGGGGGTCATCTCATGATCTAGTTTCTTATTTATCTTGTAAGGGAGAGTGTGCTTGAGATAACTAGGGCTGTCGCAAAAGAATCTGCTGAAGCAGAACTTCTGAAGCTTGAATTTTACGCACAAATTTATGCGTCTTCAACTCGGTGCTGTTGCTCTCCTTCCTTAAAGCAGATCCTTTTGCGACAGCCCTAGTTATCTCAAGCACACTCTCCCTTACAAGATAAATAAGAAACTAGATCATGAGATGACCCCCTTACCGAGATATGGAAATTTTTTGGCTCAAAGGGGGGTATAGTTGGAAACTCAAACCTGCTTCTCCTTATCAGCTTACATCGGAAGCTTACCTGAGTACCTAATACCTGACTTACCTTCTCCCTCTACCTTTATAGAACTTATTTCCAGCAGCTTTCTCTTTTGATCATCAAACTCCGATATCTTACCTTTCCTATTCTGATTATTTTCCTGCCTTCACTCAGTATATACAAATTCGATTGTGTACAACAATTCCATTTATTGTTTATCCTTATACACACAATACGATGGCAAATTATTCAATTTATATCCACATTATAACCACAAAATGTCTTTTTCAGAGTCTCGTCCAACAAGCCCACGTGTAGGCACCACTCCAGCCATTCGTTTCACGACCATGCGCCCTCCCATATCGACTCAATACTCGTCCCATGGAATGCCTAAAATTGGATTTTTCAGCTCCGATATCTCAACTTTAATCTAACTAACTCACCTTAGCACCTGCTTCGTCCCAGTGAGGGGGGTCCTGTCCCGATTTTTGCTTTCATGATACATGATAATGAAATGATATTCATCAAAAAAGTACTCGGAAACATTTTACTACGTTAAAATGTATACAAACAAATTTAGAAAATTTAAAAGCAAAAAATTGGAAAATTGTTGAAATTAAAATTTGGAAAAATTAAAGTTAAAAAGTTGAAAAATTTTTTTCAATTCCCCCCGGTCGACGTCGGGAATTTTTTTCAATTCCCCCCCCCCCCGTTCGACGTCGGCAATTTTTGGACCCCCTTCACTTTTGAGGGTCAAAAACTCCTGAGACCCCCTTCACTTTGGAGGGTACCCATCTCAGGCCTTCGCACCTATGAATACAAGAAATTTTTGAAACCCTGCTTTAAAACCTTCTTGCATTACTTTTTCGAATTTTAAAGAAGAGGAGAATTACAGAGGAGTGTATTTTTTATACTAGGTTGTTCCATAGGTCTTGTATCAAAAACTATAAACATTCGTGGAAAAATCATAAAAGTGTTTGAAAAATGCTGAATGTTAAGATCATATAATTCATGAAAATGTTTAAGGGAGAAGTTCGATGTGTATTCTAACAATTATTTTGCGCGGAGAATATTGTATTTTCACGTAAAGACTTAGAGACTTTACCATAACGTAACAAAAGGTCTAAAAGAAAAAAATAACACTTGGTAGGAATGTCCGATCGGCACGAACTCTTTAAAAGCTGTGTAGGTCACATAATCAAAATCCTACTGAAAATGGATTTTTGACGATTTCTTCGGCACTGTTTACGACAATAGAAGACAATATGATTTAAGTGTTTCTGCTTGACCGCTTATGTCGCGAAATCTGTCAACCATGATTTTTGCATTTAGGGCCGGGCATACTTCACGGGATTTCAGTCGCAACGCGATTTGGCAATTCGCCAGAATTCTTCAGATCCGAGATTAGCAAACTGCACGTGTGTATATCACGTGGATTGATAAAATGCCCTATCTTCTGTACATTTAAAGTGTGCTTACAGTGAGTTATCGACAGTTGGAATATTGCCAAATCGCGTCGCGACTAAAATCGCGTGAAGTATGCCCGGCCCTTTTAGCACCACCGCAAAGCTGACGTTTCGCTCTCTCTAAATTTAAAACAAAAATTTTTTGAGAAGAGGGCCTATGGTTTAAAAAAATTCGGTGTAAGACTCGGAAGTCACATTAGAGCCACTTTGTATGATGGGTGAAGGGAGTTTATACGCTAGATGTATGAATTTCTGCTTCATCTCCTCATTTTTAACAATTATCTATAATTAGTGTTTATGGGGAGAGAAATCGCTAAATCTTCTCCTTTCTTAGAGTGGATCACCCAAGCTCTGCGTTCCGGAACGCTTGCAAAAATTTCAATTAGGTACTTTTCATAACCGAAATACCCCCAAAAAAAAAAAACCTCACATAGCACCGAGTTATACTCACGTGTCAGGCATTCAATCTCCTCAAAAACAAACGAAGATATTCAAAAAATTAGCGAAAATGGAGAGTGTTCGAAGATATATTTCTGCATTTATCGCCTGAATTGTGAGATTTGCATTCACACAGATATCAGAGTTTGACTGAGTTTTGAACTGTGACTTGGTCAATGAGAAATTTGATTTTTTGGTATTCGCACTTCCAGTTAGAATTTAAAGTTGACACGCAACTTCATGGCATTTTGCTAAGTGAGAACTATCATAAATCTTCTAAATGAAGTAGTGGAACTCCACTAATCCTCTCAAAATGAAAAATCCTTCCCCTTGCAGGGCGCTCGTATCACGTTTATCGCGTATTGCTTTCTTTACATTGAAAATAAAGTAGTTCGATGAGAATAAGGGAAGTGGTAGAGCATAAAATACGACAAGATTTACGCTACAATCTTACAGAAGATCTTCACTACGCATCTATTCCCAATATCATTGTGACTAGCTATTCTTTGATATCTTTTTAGCGAAGTGGTAATCACGTTCGAAAACGGAGTCGAAATAAAAAGCGATTAGACTGAAGACTTTCAGGAAATGATAGCAAGAGCACAATGAGCATTACTGTATGTTTGTTTAATTTGGCAACATTTTTGGAAATATTGAGTAAAGCTTTATCATTAAATCAAGCAAATCTGTTCGAGTAGAATAAATTAAGTTTTCGTTGAGATCCGCATGATATCAAGTTCGGGTTCTATAAATGTTTGTCGTTATATGAAGCTGTACTTACTTGAGCTGCTGAAATTGTTCTGTCAACTTGGAAACTTCGTAAATACTATAGGAAAGGAATAGCATACAGAAGGGAAGCAACGTTGATAGGACATTATCAGAGTGGTAAAAC